AGGATATAGCTTCAGTGAAGGTGCAATGGAGAGGTCAGCCTGTGGAGGAAGCCACCTGGGAGAGCGAGCGAGAGATGCGGAGCAGATATTCACGCCTATTCGAGACTCCAGGTATATTTCTAGACCCGTTCGAGGACGAACGGATTTTTAAGAGGGGGAGGATGTAACGACCCGGCCGGTTATTTCGAGAGTTATAGCCCAATTTTTTCCATTTCTACTTCTTTTTGTATTATTCAGCTATATTATGTTATATCGGGTTAGTTGGTTCGGGTCCGGGAGGAACTCGGAGTGAAATGAGACACTTAGTCTCATAATTGAAAATTTGAGTTAGAAAGGTGGACCGGATATGGACCTATGTGTAAAAGATCTCGGATTTTAATTCTGATAATTTCAATAGCTCTGTGTAGTGATTTTGGGCTTAGGAGCGTGTCCGGAATATTATTTGGAGGTCCGTAGAGGAATTAGGCTTGAAATGCCGAAAGTTTAATTTTTGAGAAGTTTGACCGGGGGGTTGATATTTTGATATCGGGGTCGGAATACGATTTTGAAAATTGAAATACCTTTGTTATGTCATTTATGACTTGTGTGCAAAATTTGAGGTCAGTCGGACGTGATTTGATAGGTTCCGGAGTCGTTTGTAGAAATTAGAAATTTCAAAGTTCATTAGGCTTGAATTGGGGTGTAATTCATGATTTTAGCGTTGTTTGAGGTGATTTGAGGGTTCGACTAAGTCCATATGATATTTTAGGACTTGTTGGTATATTTGGTTGAAGTCCCGAGGGGCTCGAGTGAGTTTCAGATGGTTAACAGGTTAGATTTTGGACTTGGAACTCTGTTGGAATTTTTCTGATACACCATCTGGTTTCCTTCATCGCGTTCGCGAGTGGAGCCTCGCGTTCGCGAAGAGGAACTGAGAAGCTGGCAATATTTGCTCTTCGCATTCGCGAAGTGAAGCATGCATTCGTGAAGGATGGACTGGGTGTGCATCACGAACGCGAGAGGTGTTACGCGTTTGCGAAGAAGAGAGGAAGCAGCCGAAGACCCCAGGCAATTGGTCTATGCGTTCGCGTAGGGGGTGTCGTGCTCGCGTAGTGAGGGGGAACGAAGCATCGCGTTCGCGATGGGTTGAACGCGTTCGCGTAGAAGGCATTGAGGCAGAGGCATTTTGTGCTTCGCGAACGCGGGGGTGATGTCGCGTTCGCGAAAGAGGAATTTGGACGGGAGTTGTTTTGTGCTTCGCGAACGCGAGGCACTGACCGCGTTCACGAAGAAGAAAAGTCTGGGCAGTGAGTTCAGTTTTTGACGATTTGGAGCTCGAATTTGAGGCGATTTTGGGTGATTTTCAGAGGAAACAACGGGGTAAGTGTTCTTAACTCAATAATGGTTAAATTACCCGAATCCATGGTTGTTTTTATCATTTAATTGGTGAATTGAGTTGGAAAAATTTGAAAACTCTCTTGGTTTAAATTGAAGATTTGAGGGTCATGTTGGGGTCAGATTTTGGTAAAATTGGTATGATTAGATTCGTGGTTGAATGGGATTCCGGATTTGGTAACTTTTGTCGAGTTCCAAGGCGTGGGCGATTTTTTAGCTAATTTTTGGATTTTTATGAAAAATTATTATTTTCTTATGGGATTAATTCCAATGAATTTTATTGACTGGAACGAATTATTTATGACCAGATTTGAGGCGTTTGGAGATCAATTCACGAGGAAAGGACATTGCAGAATAAGAATTTCATGGCTTGAGGTAAGTAACGATTGTAAATCTAGTCCTGAGGGTATAACCCCGGATTTTGTATCATTCTTCTATTTTTAGTGACGCACATGCTAGGTGACGGGCGTGTGGGCGTGCACTGTTGGGGATTTGTGACTTGGTCCGTCCCGTAGCAACTATAAAGTTGCATACCTTGTTGAAACCATATGATACTTATATGTNCTCGTCACTACTGCTCAATCTTTATTTATTGTTGTTACTTACTGAGTTGGCGTACTCACGTTACTCTGTGCACCTTGTGTGCAGATTCAGGTGTAGCTGGACACGGTAGCGGTTATTGAGTGTTCTGGTTGCAGATTTTCTTGGAGATAGCAAGGTAGTTGTTTGGCGATCGCAGCCCCTGCTCTTCTCCCTCTTATCTTCCTCTAGTTGTATTTAGTTACTTTTGAGGCTGAGTCAGCCTTGATATTGTTAGACAGTTTGTAGTAGATGCTCATGACTAGTGACACCCCGATGTCGGGCTTTTTTTTTTCGCACTTCTATTTTTTTTTTCTTTGATTTGAACTCCTTAAATGAAGGTTTTATGTTAAATAGTATTGAAATTATCTTTGAAAGCAAAATATCGGTTTGTTTGGAAATGAATCGGCTTGCCTAGTTCCACGATAGGCGTCATCATGACAGATTAGATTTTTGGGTCGTGACACCCACCTCATGGGATATCCTACCATTATACCAAACGACTCCCAAGAGAACTAGATCCTTTGTTCATTACAATACATTATCCTCCCATTTCTTTTAGGAAGGATAAGGTAAAAAGGAAACCACAGTAAAAAAGAAAAACAACTTCAACAATAGCAACTTCGAAGAAATAACACCATTTGATCCACAGGCTCCTTTAGCACATACTGGAAACAACTTGGACATGACATTATGATCCAATATCACTGCACAAAGACATTATTTACAGTGTAGTACACTTAATTGTTACATTATCAAGAGCAAACAGTCACCATTTTAGTGAGAGTCTTGAAGTTTTGCTGCTAGATGTGATATTTATTGCAAGAGATGCAACGAACATCATTATCCCTACATTCTCAAATTTTGAAAACTGATAACTTATAACACTGTCCTCAGTATGAAAGTAGAGGCTGAAAACAGGATCTCTCAGGTAGTCGTAGCCACGAAGAAGAAACCTCAAAATTGTGAACCCAATGTAGTAAACTTTACTGAGAGGCTTACTAGCTCTGTTTCCCCTGCCAATAGAACTATGATCGAGGCAAAGAAGACAACCTTCTTATCATTCGGCCTGTGTTTTGGAGATAGTCTTGTTCCGCATGGCATGTGGAATAGCTTTAACCTGGAAAGAAAGCTCATAAGATCAAGAAGAGAGGAGTGTTAAGTTTCATTTTCCAATGGGGCATCGCTCCTCCCACCAAACCTATACTGCAACAGCCGAAACGTCCACCACGGCGTGGCCCAAACCAACACCCACCAAATTCATAAATCCAATACTTATAGAAACTCTTGCAGCTTACATTTCTCTTTCTGGGAACAAATCAGCTGACAATTTACACACAAGAATCACCTTATTCAACACGGATAACAGAATCTGAGGAATTGCTTCGCATAAAAAACCAACTACCGAAAAGTAATCCATTTACATTATTGAAGATTCAACTTTAGTAAAGGTAAAGGGATCTCAACTATCGCACTGCATATTTTCAGTCTTTACACTTGAAGCAAAAAAATAAAAAAAGAAGTCTTTACACAAGATTATACTCAGAGCGAACAAAAGCTTCTTCAGTAATATCATGCTCCTTGACAAAAGTTCATGAAACATTCTTGAATTAGATAAATGCAATTACCAAGATAACCAAATTTTTGGAGAAACAAAACATGCTTATATTGCCAAAAAGAGGTTCAACAACCAGCATTTCATAAAAACCAATGAACTCAAGCTACAAAACTGAGAAAAAGTGTAACTATCAGAAAATAAATGTGGGATGGCAGGTTGGTTAATCTGGCGACATGCCTCTCTTGTATCTAATTTATTGCTCTCGGGTAAAAATGAATTCCTATAACCAACAACAAAGATTTGACAACATTAATTCATAGTTGGACTGCAACCAAGATACCACCGGATGCATCTTCTGTTTCGCTTTTTATTCCTCCAGTTCTGTAAGTGATCGACCAATGACATTACAGGCTCCTTGGGGAGGAGGGTTCCGATGAAGCGCCGGTTGAATCACCTCCAGCGGGGTTCAGTGATGATCCACTTGAGAGAGAACCACTTCCATTGTCATTTTGAGACACGACGGGGATCTTCAAAGATGCTCTCTCCATTTCCTTCTCAAGCTCTTCTTCTCGACGCAATGTAGTGAACTGGCCATCTAAAGATTTGGCTGCTCCCAACCATGCCAGAACAATTACTAGGAGCACACCTCCAAGGTAAGGAGTCGAGCTGGCAAGTGAACCGAAAGTCAAAATCATGAACTGTTGTATCAAAGCTCCTCCAGACTTTCCCAGCGGATTGCAGACAACATCAATTGCTGCTTTCCCTTTAACCTGATACAACAAATTACTTGTTAAGTGATAGCACAGTTATCTGGTTGTGCATGGCTAAGCAAATGTATATGTTAGTTATATATCACAAGTACTGCCAATATAAAGGCTTCAGCTATACATGTTTGAAATTTCAATTCTTCGATGAAAACATGATTGCACTATCTCGGAATTAATTCCACTAACGGCAACTCTATCTAACAGCACCAACACCATTCAGTAAATAAGTATATACCGAGTATATCATCATACCTTAGTGTCCTCGTCCAAAGGAATGTAGGCCATCTCTTTGCAAGGATCAAACAAACTGTACTTCGCACTCTTACTGAAAATGTTCTGCATTGCACCCACATAGACAGCTGCTAGAAGAGGAGTCATCCCGAACTTTGCAAGAGCTGGTGCTAGAGGGGCACCAAACAAAATCAGGGAGAAGAAGCCAATTCCGGTAAGGAGCAATACTGTAGGAGTTATCTTGGCTGCTGCTCCCCATCCATACTTATCAAAGATCCACTGGCTTAACAACATCATTACAAAAGTTGCTATTCCAGTAGCAGTTGAGAAGTCACCCATGAACGACGAGTATTCATTGGGGCTTGGGAACTGCACATTAGTGATAGAGAGAGAGAGAGAAAGAGAGAGACGGAATGAGATACCATGTTAAAATGAGAAACAAATCCGCATTCAAAAATTTAAGGAAAAAAGATAGCACTCAGTAATAATTCACCTGAGCTTTGAGCTTTGACTTCCATGTAACTTCAACAAGGTTGATACTAATACCATATGCTACAACCAATGTGGCAAGATTCCTGATATATTTTGAAGAAACCAAGAACTTCAAGCTCTCCATTGTGGTCATGTTAGGTTTTACCTGACAAACGACATCAGTCAGATAATGTACATATGTAAACATGATTCTTTAATATAAAAGATATGTGTATAATATCTGAATGACACTATTGACAATAATTTGCAAAGATTTAACCAGCAATGGATCACCGTTTTAGTAAAAGTGATAGAAGAGGAACAAAGAGGTAGTGCATCTGCTTTTCATAAACAAATTGATGACGGGAGCGATTTCTACTAGTCAAGCAAAAGATAAATAGTTTCTTCTACCATCAACGAGTTGCTTTGGAAGTAACTATTGCCTATAGCAAAGCAATGTCATATGGTTTAGCTGGTTACCTTCTTCTTCTTGCTTCGAGTGGGGAGAGGAACATTTCTATTCACCCACCAATAAAAGAAACAGATTGCCCCACCCATCATCACTACAATACTCATCATCGCTTTCAGAGAGATGGCCCAACCATCAACTCCAGGACCCAAAGAGCTTCTCAGGCTAGAAAAGTACTTCACTGTGCGACCTGAGAAAATCAGAGCAACATTTGCACCAAGTCCAAATAAAGGATAGAATCTCTTAGCCTCGTCAACAGTCGTAATCTGCAAAAGAAATCACCCAAAACAATTTAAAAACAGTGATTTTCCCCACCAAACTCTGCGGCGGTGATTACATAGACATAGATAGTTGACGGTAGCAGCAAAATAGCCAGAATGGTAACAGCAGGGGAACAGAATGAAACCTTTACAAATTTTGTATGATCAACCGCAACTGAAAATAAACTAAAAAACAGCAGACCAAGACATAAAACAATGAGAAAATGGTGTTGCCAATATTTTAAAACACAGTGAGCACAACTGCACCATAAACAGAACCATTAGCTAAGTCATCCACCATTAAAGCTAAGACTAGATAGAGCTAGAGCAACATTTTAGAACTCCACTATTTTAAGACATAGTGAGCACAACTGCACCATAAACAGAACCGTTAGCTAAGTCATCCACCATTAAAGCTAAGACTAGATAGAGCTAGAGCAACATTTTAGAACTCCACTCTTTTACTATACCACCACCTAGCCCCCCATAAAACAATGAGAAAATGGCGCTGCCAATATTTTAAGACACAGTGAGCACAACAGCACCATAAACAGAACCGTTAGCTAAGTCATCCACCATTAAAGCTAAGACTAGATAGAGCTAGAGCAACATTTTAGAACTCCACTCTTTTACTATACCACCACCTAGTCCCCCATAAAACAATGAGAAAATGGCGCTGCCAATATTTTAAGACACAGTGAGCACAACAGCACCATAAACAGAACCGTTAGCTAAGTCANCCCCCCCCCCAACACACACACACACAATGAACATCAGGAAAGCAGAGTATAGTAGCACATGTATCACAAATAGCAGCAAGCTGCAAACTACTCCTGCTATAAAGAGATTGTTTTTACCTCACGAAATTGAAGCAGCAACCATCACAGAAACAAAGAGGCGAAGTGCAAATACAGTCAGACATCTCTATAACATCTTTATGTAATAGCCATTCAGTATAAAAGACAAGTTTTCTTCGAAACCGATATTTATGTTCTGTTATAATATATGCCCTCTATAAAAGCACTTCACTATAGCAGCCAAAAAATATTGAAACAAATGAGGTGGTAGAGGTTTGATGTTATAGAGAAGTTTGACAGGTTTGATTGTATTAGCTAATACAAGAATCTAACTAAACAGATTATCCACACAATAAGACTATACATCCTTAAAATGGTTACCAATGCACAAAATATATTCATGGACACAAATTTACCTGATTAGCAAATCCCCAAAAGAGAACTGAAACCACCACACTTCCCCAAAGCTCAGCCATGACATAAAACAAGCAGAAACTCCAGATCCTCAGTATAGCAATTGGCCCAAGAAATCTTGGACCCAAAGAGTTGAGAAGTTTATCAGCAAAAGCTGTAGGGTGAAAGTAATTGCTAAGAGGATACAAAACAAACCCAAATGCCCCAAAGAATGCAATAAACGGAAGTATAACAGTGTAAAAAAGAGCCTCTTTTGACAACACATTGGCCAACTTTGTGTACAACAGCATGAACCCTATAGCCATAGGCAAATTTACCCAAGTTTTCAAGAATGGAATAATTTCAGCACTAGACCCTTTGGCTGTTACAACCAATACATCTTTTGTGTCCCTAAGGATTGTGTAATTAAAGAGAATACAAAAGAACATTGCCCCAAGTGGTATAATTTTCTTAAGGGTCACAAGTTCAATTCCCATGAACTTAGGTGGCTCTTTTTCTGCAAAAAGTGGCTGGCCATCAGCTGCAGCTGCAGCCTCAGCTTTGCAAATTGGGGAAAATCTGTCCTTTTGGCCAAAAAGCTGAGGCTTTGTAGTAAAGCATTGAAATTTTTGGAACCCATTTGAAGATAGAGATAACCCATTTAAGGGCTTAGGTTTTAGAGTATTCAAAGAATGGCCAGAATTGAATCTATGCCTTAAACCCCCATGAGGTAATGGATAAAAAGCCTTGGTTTTGGGTTTTGAAGGCAAAGAAAGAAGCCCTTTTGTTTGTAAAACAGCTTCCATTTTGAGCTCTCTCTCTTTCTCTTATCTCTACAAGTTCAAGAAAGCTTAAAGATTGAATCTTTTTAACAAATGAACATGAGAGATAAGGAAATAGAGAGGGATAAGGTTTTGGGGAAGAAGATGAAAGGGTCCGAGAGAGAGATATACAAAAATCTATTCTTTATCTTTATATATATGTATGAAGAATCAAAACCCTGAAATGGGAAAGAAAAAGACAAATAAGGAAATAATGTAGAGTTTGTTTAGGTAAACACTAGCTAATTGTTTAAGAAAATTTGATAATCAAGAAGAAAAGGAAAAAGGAAAATCTGTGTGTCAGACTTGCAGTAAGAAGATTAGATACTTGTATGCAGTGAATAGTATTCTTCAACTTGCACTTTCTGTGCAATTAAATTATTACTAATACTCTATTCAACCAAAAAAGAAGAAATGTTAATCTAATGCTAAGCCGCCGCAAAAGGAAGACTTGGGTTGAGCAAAGTAGAAAGGATCATCCCTATATATGCGAAATAATCTTATGAAAAAATGACCAAACGTTTTTTGATATGAAAAAAGCTTTTAACTCCATTCTTATTTAATTTTATATGATATTTCTTGCTTCGTTTTAAAGATATTGACACCTTTTAAATTAAAAATTCATTAATTGTAATATTTCTATTTATGCTTGATAACATATATAATGATGACATGCCATACATACGATAATAAAATTTTATAGTAATTTTGTTATGTATTAAATATCTTTATTTTTTTAAAAAAAATTGGCGCACAACCAAACCATCATGTACAATGAAATAGTAGAAGCAATAAATTTATACCGTACCCGCCTCCACATTAACATTAATTAACGCATTTGATATCACTATTAGGGAAAATAACAATTATTCTATCGTTGTATATATAGAAATAAATAATTCTTCTATTAATCCCTGTAATATAGTCTTTGAATTAATATATCCTCCAATCAAACTACCCCTAAATAAAATCAAAGGGATTGTTTAAGTTGGTGGGGAGACACATCACTTTCAATAAATATTTGTTATTTCAGGATTAACCCCTCAAGTCATAATTAATGATCAAAATGCCCCTCCTAGGAGATATTTTTCCTATAGCGACCTGTGTTTATTTGTACTCTAGCTTTTGACATGGAGATAGGCAACATGCTATAGCCATAGGGTTAACATTGAACACGAAGCAACACTTCCCGCCTTTAAATTGAGATAAAATAAATTCCTAACAATAGGATTATTTTTTGTTTTTTGTGAAGTTTTTCTATTTTTTAAAAATAGAAAACTCGTTTGTTATACTATCATAAATTATAGTATATGAATCTAATAGAGCATGATTTTTTTGTGGATAAAATGTTGGAAGCTATAAATTTTCTTGGATTATAATAGGTGGATAACATATTTTAGATGCTTGTATTTCTACTGTAAATTTATGTTTTATAAGAGTGGTTTAGCCTTTTAGAGATTTAATATACTTAGAGAATATACAAAGTTTCTAGTACTTTTTATTTATATTTGCATAATATTGGCATGAGATGATTTAAATGGATAAAGTGATTGATGAGAGCCTCCCAAACTTGATTTGGATTGGGTCGCCATCTTTGTTATATACATTTCGAACAAAGAGGGATTAAGATTTTAGATGATGTAAGTTTTGATACGAGAATTAGGTTCTGAAATGTATATTTAATTTTATCTATATCTATTTTTCATATGTATTCATAGGGTTCGATCATGAAATACAAAATCGCCATTAATTAATAATAATTCATCTAAAAATCCCACGAGGGTTTTTTCAAGTGGGTGATTAATTAAAAACGTTGATCATACTGGCTTTGAGTAATACTCCGTATGCCTCAAAAACGAATCTTCCCTTGTTACAGCAAGAAAAAGTCATATTCTGTGAATGTTGAGGTACTAAAACATACATATGAAAACAAATACTCCTGATTTCACGTGACATGTTTTACTTTTTAATCTGTTTTTTTTTTAATTTTATATTTATTAACTTTTTAATCTCTTAAAAAGAATGATACTTTCTTCTTCTTTTTAAAATTTTTCAATTTTTTCACTTCAGATTTTACTCATAGTTACTGACATGACTTGTTAGAAACGCATTTAGTATGGAAGCTCATTACGTATTTTATACAGAAAAGAAAATAAAAAAAAATATGTGAAATTCTCAGCACAACTCATTTAATAGAGTACTTTGATATTTTTTTATATATTATTGTTTAAATTAACACCTGGCATGGGAGAAGCGGATGATATATATGCTACTTATGGGGCTTGAACATTTCACCTCAACTACGAATGGGGGGAGTTCACAAGTGAGCTAGTCCTCATATTCGTTTTTTGTATATATTTGGTTTATATGTCAAAAGTTATTTCAATTTTCTTTACACTCCTTACCCTTCATTTAAAATGGATCGGAGGAATATCGAAGGTTATGGTAGGATGGATAAAATCACTCAACTCTTAATCAGATGTTTCGAATTCGAGCCTCAAAGTTAAAAAAAAAATCTTAATAAGAAGTGTTTTTCCTTTAATGGATATTAGGTGACGCAACTTCAATTTAGTTTGATCTGAATGGGAGTATCCAAGACTGAATCGAAAACCCAAAACAAGAAAAGGGAGGTAATACTAAAACATAAGAGAGAATAAATAGATTCCATCTTGTTGGCCGCAAGAGTCATGTCACTATTAAGATTTAGTATTGCTTTTTCAAAAACATATCCTAAGGTCATTTGGTTGAAGGCCGGTTGAAACAATTTTTGGAAGAAAAAAATTAGACAAGTTTTTCTTTCCCAAAAAAGTTATTTCTAAAAACATGTGCGATAGTTATCTTTATTGATATTTTGGCAAGTATTTCTATTTCAAAAAAAATTAAAACTACCTTTAGTTTTTAAAAATGTATAAACGAACATCCAAACAAACGCAAGTTGTAATAATTCCCAAGTTCAAATTATATTGAAAGTATAAATAATATTTCTACGGAAATGATTCTATTATCAATAAGAACATTGGAAGCCAAAAACATCAGTCTATTTATTTCATTATTACGTATTTTTGGGTCTGAAGTTGATATCCTTTTCTTCCGAAAACAGTAGACAAGACTTCGAATTGATGGAAATGTTAAACACCAACTGAGGAGACCTTCAACGGTGAGAACCATTTCCATTTCCAATTCGTGTCTCTTGCAAGCTTCATGATTTGGTAAATTGATTGGGAATTTTAAGTTGTGGTTTTAGATCCGTTTATTACTTCCTCCGATCCGTCAAAAATATAATTGATTTGACAAATTAAATTTGGTTCAAAATGTTTGATATTTAGACAAACGAAAAATATTTAACTTGTTTTTTCAAATTATTCCTGTTGTTCCATATAATGGAATGTAACTAAATGAAAAAGAGAGAATGGCTACTTTAAACAAATATTATTATGATTAAGACTATGAAATATAAAGGGTGTGCTAATGTGCATGCATATATTGACTGAGATAGTAATTTTCTGTACTTTGAATAAACAATTTGTTGATGCATTTTCGTTTAATAAGAATTGACTCAAATAGCCGTTAACGCAATCGTTTAAATTAAAAATTATTGACGAATATATAATACATATATAATTCATGTTTAATACGAGTATAATATGTGAATAATCACTTGAAAAAATAAACCGTGAATCTGGCCCTACAAAGATCCCTTTGTTTAATAGGCATGATTGTGGTTTTTGTAAAAGTTCACATGCTAGATTAGTTGACGGTCCTTATGGCTCGCAAGAGATCCTCGAGGGTCCTACCTTTTAGTTAATTCATATTATTCTGTATTTCTTAAACCTATGAAATGAGTTGTATATATTGTTTGATTTGAAATGATATGATCCTCATATTTGTTTTAATTTGGACACCAACCCCATGGAATTAATTCTAATATAGCCATCACTTCCTTGTTAGCATCTCTCGAATTCAATATTGTTCATCAATTTTGACCCAAAAAAATATGTTCATCAATCCAACTTCTTCCGGATATCCCTCTAATCTTATCGTTAATTGGAATGGTGAATGTTTGTGCTCTTTTGCGGAAAAGTCGATGAAATTAGTCGATACCTTAAAAAAGATGAGAGTTGATATTGCATGCCTAAATGAAATTAAATGGGCGAGCAAAAGACTAAAAAATTAGGCAGCACAAAATATATATTATGGCATTATGGGATCAAAAAAAAGGAATTGGGTGAAAATTAGCAGGAACGAGGACTTAAAGATAATGTTATAAAGGTAAAAATGAATTTGGGATAAAATTATCTCATAACCCTTGGAGGGAAATGAAACAGTCAATGTAATTAGGCTTATGTTCCACAAAATGAATTAGATGTAGAAGCTAAAACTAAATTTTGGGAAGATATAGGCACCTTGGTTCAAGGAATTCAGGAGACCAACAGATCTTTGTTACATGATATCTAAATGGTCATGTGGGTAAAGATAATAATAACAGTTTTGACCTTGTACACAAGGAATATGGATATGATACTACTAATGATGAAGAAAATCTTGGGACTAAAATAATTAGGCATCATGCGAAAGCTAATAAAATAAATATTGAATGATAATAAATAAGACAACAAAGAAAAATATATAGCAAAAGAGACATAATAATTTGGCACGATTTGGTCAAATGACCTAAATGTGAGTGATTTACTAATATAAAAGAGAACATGAAAAATATTGAAAGAATAATCTCACAAAATTTTCTCTTAAAAGAGTTTTACATTTTTCTCCTAAACAAGACTTTCATAAAGAGCAACCAAACGTTGTATTACTTAATGGTTATTTTGATGTGGAGATTAATTCTTGGAAATTTTACCTCCTATAACAAATGTTGATACCTTATTTATTATAAATAAATACCCTTTTAAAAAATTATCTCATATAGCTACCTTTTAATTTTTATAGCAAAATATCTATTTATGATTACTTACTACCTTTAAGCCATT